CAGCACTTAGGGAGGCCAAGGCGGGTGAGTCACCTGAGGTCAGTAGTGTGTGACCAGCCTGGCCAACATGGTGAAATCCTGGCTCTACTAAAAATACAAAAACTAGCCAGGCGTGGTTGTAGGAACCTGTAATCCCACCTGCTTGGGAGGCTGAGGCAGGAGAATCACTTGAACATAGCAGTGAGCCAAGAATACACCACAGCACTTCAGCCTGGGCATCAGAGCGAGGCTCTTTCTCAAAAAAACCATAAAAGCTGGCCATCATGGCACATGCCTGTAGTCCTAGCTACAGCAGGCTGAGGTGGGAGGACTGCTTGAGCTGAGGCAGTCAAAGCTGCAATGTGCCAGATTGTGCCACTGCACTCCAGCCTGGGTAACAAAGCAAGACCATCTCTTAAAAAAAAAAAGTCAGCTTTCTGCCATACCTATTTTATATAAGTTTGTGCACACAACACATATATGCGTATGTTTTTGTGAAATCATGCTAGTCACTTTCACACTAACTTTAAATTAAATCCTGTTTTAGTGTTTTGTATGAATATTAAGTTGCAAATACTAAAAAATTAATGTCAAAATATATTAAAGCTTACTAAAAGGAAGCTTGAAATTAAAAAGTTTCACTTGGATGTGGGCGCAGTGGCTCACGCCTATAATCTCAGCACTTTGGGAGGCTGAGGCAGGCAGATCACCTGAGGTCAGGAGTTCGAGACCAGCCTGACCAACATGGAGGAACTCCGTCTCTACTAAAAATACAAAATTAGCCAGGCGTGGTAATGCATGCCTGTAATCCCCAGCTACTTGGGAGGCTGGGGCAGGAGAATTGCTTGAACCCAGGAGGCGGAGGTTGCAATGAGCCGAGATCGCGCCATTGCACTCCATCCTGGGCAACAAGAGCGAAACTCCATCTCAAAAAATAAAAAAATGAAAGAAAGTTTCACTCAAACTAAAATGTGAGAGAAGGAGATCAAAAGTTACGAAAGCTTGGGCCAGGTGTGGGGGCTGCTCACACCTATAATCCCAGCACTTTGGGAGGCTGAGGGAGGATCACTTGAGTCCAGGAGTTCCAGACTAACTTGGGCAATATAGTGTAGTGAGACACTCGTTTCAGCCAAAAAAAAAAAATTAGCCATCAGTGGTGTCACATGCCTGTGGTCCCAGCTACTTTGGAGGTTGAGGTGGGAGGCTTGCTTGAGCCTAGGAGGTCAAGGTTGCAGTGAGCTGGGATTGTGTCACTGCACTCTAGCCTGGGTGACAGAGCAAGACTCTGTCTCAAAAAAAAAAAATTATGAAAACTTGAGATAACAGGCAATTTAAATTTTAGAAGTCTGGAGTTTAGCATTCAACAGTCATGGCTAATTCCCACATGATGGAAAATTAAACAAGCAATCCCACTCACCAAATGAGCCATAATGCTCAATTTGTGCAGCGAGGGCTGCCGATTGAATAGCACCACATCTCCATCGATGAGGTGTCTCTCTACAATGTCACCATACTTGAGCTCTTGAGCCATCTTTTCCCGGTTTCCATATTTCAAAAACCTGAATGTGCAACAATAAACATGATCTGTGAGAACAAAGTTCTCCCCCCAGTTTCTCCTTCTTCAGATCAGGATTCAATCTTTAATATACCATTTCATAAAATCTAAGATACCTCCATTTTAATGTCATATTCTTATTTTATGCGCCAAGAAAAAAGGCTCCCTGTTAAAACTATGACAGGGTGGGCAAGGTGACTCACTCCTATAATGCCAGCACTTTGAGAGGCCGAGATGGGTGGATTGCTTGAGCCCAGGAGATTGAGACCAGCCTGGGCAACATGGTGAGACCTTGCCTCTACAAAAAATACAAAAATTAGCCAAGCATGGTGGTGTGTGCCTGTACTCCCATCTACTTGGGAGGCTAAGGTGGGAGGATCACCTGAGCACAGGAGGTGGAGACTGCAGTGAGCCATGATTGTGACACTGCACTCCAGCCTGAGTGACAGAGTGAGACCTCATCTTAAAAAACAAAACAAAACCAAAAAAGCCATTATAAATTTATTTTAAGATATATCCTAATTTTAGAAATGCTAAAAGCCCCAGGAGCCCAGGTGACACAGGCAATGATCTACTTTATATATATTTACTGTATTGCTGTGACAGTCTTGCTCTGTTGCCCAGGCTGGAGTGTAATGGTGTGATCTCAGCTCACTGCAACCTCTTCCTCCCCAGTTCAAGCGATTCTTGTGCCTCATGCTCCTGAGTACCTGGGACTACATGCATGCGCCACCATGCTCGGCTAATTTTTGTATTTTTAGTAGGAAACGGGGGGGTTTCACCTGTTGGCCAGGCTGGTCTTGAACTCCTGGTCTCAAGTGATTCTGCTCACCTCGGCCTCCCAAAGTGCTGGGATTACAGGTGTGAGCCATGAAGCCCTGCCCCAATGATCCACTTTAGACTTTAGTATCTACTGTATTTTGGTCTCCTGGATCCAATAACATTACAAGCCTGAGAACAAAGGAGCACTTCATGTATATTCAATGACTGAACAGAGCAAATGACATACCTAGGCTCATGGAAATTTAAACAGATTATTTTCCACATGCCAAAATGACACACAAAGTGTATTCTGGATTGCATTCTGAGGCTGAGTATGACCACAGTGAACTTTGCCATGAGAAGGTAGTTAAATTCAACTAGATTGGGAAAAGATTACCTTTTCATCTGTGTATGTCTCTGCTGAATGAAGTTTGCTCCTGGATGAACCTCAGGGCCATTTTGAACCAGTTTCCTCAAGAAATTGATGTTTGCTTTGTTTACCTGCAGTACAAAAAACCCACTGAATGGCATCTTAATCTTTACTTTCCTTGTACAGATTCTAGGAGAAAGAGAGGCACCCTGGGTAGCCTGCTGCCTATGGTCTTGAGTGTAACGTGAACAATAGACTGGCAAACAAGTGCCCAGCTTCCAGTATCAACTCAGCTGTTTGCTCACTGGGTGACATGGCATAATCCTTTCTTGGTGCTTGGTTTCCCCACTGGTAAAACAGGTAGGCTAGATTGATCTATAGGGACCATCTGTGATCCTAGAAACAGTTTTGGGGGTAGGGCGTGGGGTTGTAAGGTTTAAAAGTTGTGACACCAACACCACAAGCCCTGGTCTGCATTGACTGTGTTCTGTAACCTCTTAAACAATTATCTTGTGGAATACCATTTTGGAGAAAGAAACGTTTGGATCATTAATAACTCAACTGAGGACACACGATACAAGCTTACCAGGAGCTTCTATGATCTGGGCTAATTGTGAGTCTCAAGGGTAAAGCCAATCAATATTCTCTTGTTAGCAGGTCCTGCAGTTATCTAGACCACAATTTTAAAAAAAGAAAGTATGAGCCAGGCGCGGTGGCTCACACCTGTAAGCCCAGCACTTTGGGAGGCTAAGGTGGGTGGATCACTTGAGGTCAGGAGCTCAACACCAGCCTGGCCAACATGGTGAAACCCCGTCTCTACTAAAAATACAAAAATTAGCTGCGTGTGGTGGTGGGCACCTGTAATCCAAGCTACTCAGGAGGCTGAGGCAGGAGAATCACCTGAACCTGGGAGGTAGAGGTTGCAGTGAGCCGAGAT